CTAGGTACACTGTATTTTGCCATCTCATGAAACTGCAAAGTTTTATAGCAATAGTTGCCCTTTATTTTGCAAGATAAGTTCTACCCAGGGCCCTTATCTCTCACCTTCATGAATGCTCTCTGTTTTATTTCTGTCTTTTTGTGTGTTTTTCTTGTTCATGTCTTATTCTTATTTGAAAGCTAGTAATGATAAACTAAATGACTGTAATGTTAATTTGTACAACCTCAACTCAATGTCTGAGGTTTTCCTAAGAGTGTGTGCAATCTATTATTATTTTTTTATAACAAAAAAGTGAAATTGTTATTTGCAATTAATATAATTTATTTGCTATACACATGTACATCTATGAAATTTTTAATGTGATTAATTGTGTAGCCAACATTGTTTGTAGTGTATACTTGTGAAACAATGCACGTTTTATACAGTCACCTGTTCTGTTGATTAACTGCTGACAGACAGACATACATGTACATGTTGGGCCTCTATTCTGTGGTTAGAGGTACCCAATTTAATAATTAGTACTTTTAATATTTTTTGTCTATTTTCTAATGCATTCATGTAATTTTGATCAGTCTACAATTATGTTTATGAGCTTTTCTGAGACCTTTTGTCAATGGCTACACCAAGACATATATGTACATGTAATATGTAGTTTTGTATGTGGTGTTAATACTACATCACATTTTTCAAAATGATATCACGTACAGTAATTCTTCTGAAGACATGACACAAATTTAATATTAATAGGCCATAAATTGGGTTTGTTTTTACACTTTTAACACTTTTGTCTCCTCTTTCTTACTCACATTACAGATGCAGAGATTGCCGTTACAGTTGATGGTACATTAAAGGTATGATTGATTCACACTATTATTGAGATAAAGGAGTTGACTGATCTATTTAGGTCTTCCAGTCCATTCTCATTGACTTAATTGCAGACTTCTTACTAGCTCTTGTTCACAGAGACTCGTGGCAGGTAATGATGATATATTGTGTAGCTACATGTAACATGTATGTCGTACATAGTAGATGCATGTAGATTGGAATAGATAATTTGGGCAAGTTGCTTTTTAAAAAT